TGTATCTATATCCAGTTATGCTGCGAGAAATTTAAATGTTAGCTATGTATGCGTATTCTTAGTGTTGTAAGCTATTATGTGATGTAAAAAATAAACTACAGTGATCACTTCTATAATTTATAATGAATGTAACTTTAATTTGTATGGATTACTGCAAATGACTAAGGCAATATAGGGAAATCAAGTTGTACAATGTTTTATAATCATACAAGACCCTATTGTCTGATCTTATATCTGGCTTAGTATAGACTTTGATGTAAGATTTCTGAGCCTATCATTTTGCGTACGATTTTTCGTATGATCTTGCATGAGCATATACAATATTGCAGTATAAGGTCTGATACCAACGTACAAGAATCTGTGATTAATCATGGTGTCTAATTTTTGGATTTGATTATATGTATGTTGAATTTTTAACAATGACAGATTATATTATTGTCATTGATGATAATGGAAATAATCAATATAGTGCTCTTATTAATAGCAACAATGTAATATTGATCAGTATTCCAAATAATGAAATAAATTTCTATCAATGACAATAGTGAGTTATTGTATAGAAAGGAATTTAATGATGCATGAGATAATTTCACAATAAATCACATACTTTTCTCGTTGTAAACTGAATATCGAATAGTATATTGAGAGTGTATTTCAAAGAAAATTTAGTTTTTAATCGATTTTGACCATTTAAGCATAAAGCTGCCATCTTATTATGTTAAAGAACAGATGAAATAACTATGGTCATGTTATTCTTGTTGCCGGTCTGACTGGTATACGAGAGAGAAAGAAAGATTAGTTATACTTTTAAAATTGTAGATGAAAATGATGGTTACTCGATGCAATTGTATGATTCACATTTTTATCTAATTATTTAAATATGCTCATATGTACCTGTTTTGTAACATGAGTAGTTTATGTTTTCAATATTTAACATTTTAAAACTTGGCAAATGAATTAAAATTTTCAAACTTCAGTCGATCGTGAACGTACTTTACAAGATAAATGAAGAATTTTCTTACAATTTAGATGTTCAATAGAGTGTATGAGGATGTAACTGTAGATGTGGTTCATCTCTTCAAGCACGTCCCACATTCACACCTTTGAATAAACTTGTTTGTTTTTTCTAACGTTTATAGCCAATATTCAGCAGTTTCATCTGCGTCGCCTGTTTTTTTTATTCATCCATTCGCTATCGAGTGTGTAAATATCATTGATGTTGGTATACATTCTTAGTACAAGAAAGAAGACAGTAAATAAAATTACAGTTTTGATGCTGGTTCAACAAAGAGTTTTGCCATGTCTAGACGTATGTGAGAGTGTTTCAATGCTTGTAATGGTCCTTGAGGATCGTCGAGCGCACTAAAGGCTATATACGCTGCATTTTCACCATAATCAAGAATCAAATTGAGGGTACTACCCGTCTCCGATAGACTGGTGACATTTCTAATAAGCGTTTCTGCAGCGAGATGATCAAAGTGTTCGACTAGTAAACTACCTAAACATGAATCATTGGATGCTTGGACATATTTATCCAAATAGATAACGTCAAGTAACTTTGGATTCGCTCGAGTATCAAACATATCTTGCCAGCTATAGATTGTTCAACTCTCTGGCGCAGTATTCAATGCCTCAAAATCCGATATTTTCATCATTGTGCCCGGACACGTTTCGTTGCTATACTCAGAGATCAAGATGAATCGAACAAGTGCAATGAGCATTGATCAGCATAGTGAGTGCTGAATCCATGGAATTCAAAAATTGAACAACATCACGAAGAATATACGTCCATGGATTACCAAAACGTGTGATAATATCTTCGTTTTTGATCGTCCAGAGCTTTTCATTCAAGCCGAGCGAGCCAATTAGATCAACATAGTCAAAGTTGGCGGATGAGTGAGATGTATGATACGTCCGTTTGTAATATTGGTGAAAATGCTCTGTATAATCTTTGTAAGAAGCGTTTGGATGATAGAGAGTCACCGTAGCAAATTTTACAATTGAAGCGCAATCAGTCCAATCTAGAGCACGTACATAAAGTAAAGTTGATGATACAGTAGAAGTTTCCCATGCATCGATAACTGTGTATGCCGCTTTGATAAGTTCAGGAAGAAGATGCAGTCGGTGAATGTCTTCATGGTCAACACCACTACCGGCTGCAATGCCTCGCATTTCACTTTTTCACCATGGAGGTGTAAAAGTGCTCGTTATTTCATAGTTAATATCAAGTGCATCACGGAGGCCATGTTGAACTACCTATTTCACGATGAACTAAGCAGTAAAAGCACCTATCTTCAATCTCCTGCATTGAAAGAATTTTCTAGATATGAAAAGTAGTCGGGCACAAATTGTTTCAATTCCTCTCTCATGAGGGTGCCTAAGACGAAGCTCATATTGTACGGAGTACCACCATAAATGTGTATGATATTGACGTGATTCTAGTCTTGACCAACTATGGAATGTCTGCCATTCGAAACTGTGCTTACAAGTCGAGGTTCATCACGCACAATAGGATGAGTATTGATTTAACCTGAACAATTTGATGGAACTCGATGGCTAGATTCAACTAAAAAATTACAGCAAGAAGACAAAGCAATAAAAGGTAGCCCATTTGTATCGTAGCAGATATCATACGTCAGTACCTATTACTAAAATAGAAAGAAACAAGATAGGATAGCTTATCATGATAAAAGAGGAGAGGAGCTGGATAAAGAGGATTCATGTGACTTTATCAAATTTGCTATTTCTCAAGCTCACGTGCATTAACTGAAGTGAACGTTCCAATACTCCATTATTCTGAAACACAACTGTGGCGTGCTGTTGAAACATATCTTGAGAAAAGTGACATTATTCTGTTGTTCTACAGACACAGGAAATGCATTTTTGAATTTTTGAACTCTAGAATTTAAATCCATATTTAAATAAATAAATGCGTAAATATTGAAACCCATAAATATTTATGAAACTATGTATGAAAAAAAAAATAGAGTTATGATAAAATAAAAAATAAACTTCTGCAAAATAATCAGGATTGAACGCTGATTTTGAGGTTAATAAGATCAGTGTAACATTTTTCAGGATTTGGTGTCTCTTATTTGATACATTTCATTTTTGTAGGCTACAAAGTGAGCAGTATAACATCTTTGAATCTTTTCATCAGTGATGACGTGTAAATGTAGTATCACATTTATCTAGAATAACAATGCGTGACTTTTGCAATATTCTTTGTAACAGGCTCTTACAAAGAACCAAGTATCAGAAGTTGAAAAAGAATACTACTTTAACTTTCATTAAAGGACTTTTAAAGGTAAAGTGCTATCTCTATTTAGTGTGTAGGTGAGGTTGGGTTGCTGATGTCAGATGTATGTGAAGTGAATAACTGCAACCCCACTCCATATCCACAGTCTCAAGCAAATCAAAGAAAGACAATTACTGCTGTTGAACTTGTGTGATGACCAACTGTGATTCCGCCACAATTTGGGGCAAATACTCATTTGTATCATAAACAGCAACAAATTGATCAAGCGCATAATGATTTTATCAATTTGGTGAGCGATAGAATAATTCATGACATTGAAAAGAATTAGCTTTGTGTGTGCAGACAAAAAGAAAATTAATTTATATTTATTTTGAAACAAGGATGCCTTAGTAGCTCATTTTCAATGCTAATATTAGTAATGGAAGATTAAATAATTTTTATGAATATCGAAAACCACTCCGTTTTGAACCCTCAAAATAGTGTCTGCATTTGGTGTAAGTCAATGTTTGTGTTTATTTCTTTTTTTCTCTTAAAAAAAGTTAAATTATATCTTTAAATGATGAATCAATCTTCTGTAGCAGCTCCTTCTCACGAGCAAATATATGACTCATAGTTATTGCTCACTTGTCAATATGAAGCATATGTATTAGAAAAAATCATGTACGCTGATAAAAATTGAGGCCTGATAAAGTAATGGTTGGTTGATTTTGTCTTTTTTATACGTGCTTGTTTCATTTTAGACATATACATCAAAGGGGCCATCATCGATTTTGTTTTTCTTCCCAACCAACAACGTGCTAAGGATAGCATAGTAATAATGTCCAATAGCGATTCAAGTAAATTACTAACTTCTGAAAATGTCATAAATTATTATAGTGATGGCACGTCAGTTGGTAAAAACTCGGCAGGTAGTATGATCAATTTTGGAAAAGAAGAGTTGTGACTATTTTTTGAATTATCCTTGATAAAGACAAGATCGAAATCTATACTCTCACGATTGAAAAAGTATAATGGCACATCGTGTAACAAAGGATACATTTTTCTTCCATGTTAGTCGAAGGTTTCTATTGATTTTTTTTTTCAAAAATTGAGTTGATCAGATATGTTGCAAAGCAAAACTTCATGAAAATCTAACGAAAAAAGTCAAAATTTCTCCTATTGTCCCTACAAAACCGAATAGAAGCTCACAGTAAAATGCTCGTAACTCTTCAATTCATGAAGTTCAAACTCTGGATCTTGCACAGTTTTGTAAATGTTCAATTGATGAGTGTTAGCGTTCTCGCTCACAAAGAGCGACGAACACAGTTAACGTGTGTGTGTGTGTTTTATTCTCTCTGTTTATTCTTTTACAAAACAAGAGTTTATATACGCACATGAAAAACATGGACAAAATAGAAAAGAAGACAAAGGTTAATCAAGGGCAAAGAAAAGAAGTTAAAGAAAGGAAAAGACAGAAACGAAAATATCAAAGAGAAGAGAATAGAGAGGATCGAGGTATATGTTATGAGAATACACTGTAACAATGAGTCTAATATACTTGAGAAAACTGAAAATTCATTGTGCTATATGATTCGATGCGTCTTCAGCGCTGCTTCCTAGCTATAAAAACCATAGTTCTCCATAAAGTTTTTATTTAAAAAAAAAGACTATTCAAAATGAACTCATGACTCTTTTTTTTTTTTGAAAAGGAAATTATTCGAATTGGAATATTTTTTTGTGATATAATTTTATCATAGAAGGAATGAATATTGCCGAACTTGCACGTACATTTGACACTCAAGTAAAAATTTCATCGTTGGAAAACCAGTCAACACAAATATCTCCACACGATCAACACTTAAAGTTGTACGAGGATTATCAGCACGGAAATCATCAAGAACACGATAGAAATGCTACTAGACTTCAAAACATGGAGATATCTTTGTAAGCGATAATTTTTTTGAAAAAACAATAGGAAAGCAAACATTTTTCACCGTTTAGTTCTACAACACAGAAGATATCGAATAATCGCTCATCGACAGCTCGAGTCAATGATAGAGCAATACATGAAAAACCATTAGCAATAGATTCACATAATTGTTCACCAATGATACAACTTACAACGAGACAAATTCCACATTCACACAATCATGGTCAACATTCATTAGCAAACTATCAAATATCCTCTTCTCATGACAGTCTTAAATACGAAATTTTACCACAAAAACAAACATCGGATAAAGCAAAATACACCGTACAAAGAGTACCTGATGAATCAGATACTTTTAACCATAATATTGCTCGTGAATTAAACGTAAGACAAAAGTCACAAGCACACAACATTGCTCATCAAACAGTAAACTATTTTCAACCAATGCAATATCCTTTAGAAAAATCGTTGAAGAAATCATCAGAAGGATTCTCTCCACAGCAAATATCAATAATAACAGATACTGGTTCCAGTGATATGGAACTAACTAATATTCAACATTTACTCAATCTTATTGAACAAGATAATCTTCATACTGCTCAGCCATATGTATCCAGTAGAAAATTTAAAAAGAATTGTGAAGATGATCAACTTTTAGTTGATACTGGATCGAAGACAGCAGCAACTGTCCAAAAAGGTTCTTTTTCATTGTTGATTTTAAGAAAAAAAAATAGAATTCATTTTCAATTAAAGATTATACAAGACAAAGTGAGAATACATATCATCGGCAAGTACCAGCACGTCGATATAGTGATACAAATGGTTTTAGGTTATACAAAAAAATGCATTCGCAAAATTCGTTTACTAGTGATCAACATTCATCAGTGAATAGAAGACAACACAGAGTACGACATCGTGTTCAAGCGTCACCATCTATTAGTAAGAAAAATATAAAAATCAACATTACGTTTATTTTCATATTTAGATGTTTCACAACCATCGAACACAGTAGATACGCAGTCCCAAACAGACAGTGAGTAAATCACATCAAATCATTGAAGAACAATTTGAGAAGTATTCATTTTGGTCAATATGCTAACGCCAAGTCGGCAGTTTCTTCACTTTTAGATCGCAAAGTCAGTCCATAGAAGATATACAAATAGACTTTCAGTTCCAGTAAATGTATCGCATATCTTGTATTGTAGGATGCGATTGTCTCTCCTTCTTCACTAACCCATTAAAAATACAAAACGTGTAAGCTTACTCGTCAGAATTTGGTTCTATTCAGTATCTATACTATAACGATGATTCATAAATCAAAGCAGTCATTTTTTGCAAAAGAACGAAGAGATCGAAAATTTTGATTTAATTTCATGCTTCTTGGTTTGCTATACTTCACATTTTAGTGACGAGCTAAATCCTCTGATACTCTTTGTTGTTTTTCATTAATAACTCATCTGATCTTCTCTTAGGTGTATCCGTGTTCTATAGATTAATTGTTCTAAGATTCATTGTGAAATTCGTCAAATAACATTAAGATCAAAGATAGTTTTATAGATGATTGTGAATATGACTCAGACCAAAGAATGGATCGATTTTGACGACTATGAAACTAATGATTATTCTGATATTAATCTACTTTTTTCATCTGAAGAAAAATCTGTAAATTACATGCAAAATGATCTGATGGTGTTAAGAGATACATTACATAAAAACAGTCAATCATCTTCGCTGTTTCTCAAAAAGTTATCCATAAGTATTAATGGTTAACTTTTTCAATAATGAATGATCGTAAATATCTATTGTCGATGAGCATTGAATAATTATCTGTATATCCAAAAGATACCGAAAGAAAAACTTCATTTGTGAAAAGATGGATTTGACACTACTTATAATTAATATCTTAAGAAATTATTGGAAAAATCCTCGATAAAATCACATTTTTTTGAAACTTAATATTTTCGTTTAAGTAGTTCTTCAAAAGACATGCACCGACAGACAAGAATTACTTTTACTAATCAGCAATATGGCAAAAGATGGGTACTATGAATACTAATAGACATCTAAATTATATTGTCAAATACAGATCATTACAAGGATTGACATCAACTGAGTAAAATACAGAAGAATTTCTAATGGTAGATCGAGATTGTTAGCATACTCAATGCTAAGAAGTTCGAACACATGATAGAATTAGCTCGTTTTTCTGTTTTATCAAGTGTTCGAAGTGAAATATTTGTTCATTATTGTCCTTGTACTGCCTTTTCTCCGTCAGTAATGGTTTAGTTATCAAATGAATCACATTTAAATTCTGTTGGATACTGAAGAAATTCGTCATGGTAAAAGTCTGTTTTCAATATCTGAACGATATGTGCGATCTACGCAACGGAGCATAAAGAAAACATTGCTGTTGATACGAGTTCATCTAATCATAGAAAAAACATGTATCATCGAAGTGGAATAATAAAAAAAAAACTTGATTTTATTCATTTTTATTATAGATGATGAATATCAGGCTCATGTTCTCATGATGCATCAAGCTGAGTGCAGCAACTATCATTCAGCCAACCCTAATGAATCGTATCTATGGAATTATGATAACTATCAGGATGTAATTTTTATCGACTTTTGTTTTTGTCACATATTTAAGTTCATATTTTGTAGAATGAAGTGAAACATGAGCAAAATACACCGTGTGAAGCCAATGTGATGTTGACAGAGAAAACTTCGATTATCGGAGAAAAGTAAGCTTGATGAAATGATGTTTAGCTGCCGTTTTGTATTGATTCATTGATAACTATGATTGATCATGTTACATGAAGAATCATTGATTTCGATCAAAAACTAATCTTTTATAGCAATAAAAATAGTTCACCATTCAAAACCTATTTCGATTCTATAGTTCTGCTTGTAAATAAAGAGACATTCGTATACAAGAGTTTTCAACCGTAATTCGGTTAGTCAGCAGTGAATTACTTTATTAAAGCACTTTTGAATGAAACTATAACTGTACTGAAATTCAACACTAATAATTGCTATTAGAATGGTTTGTTAGTGTCGAGAAAGATTATCTGACAAAATCTCGAAATTGAAAACATCAGAAATAAAATTTTGAAGAAAGCGATGCTTGAGAAATATCAAATACATATCATCTGCACTTCCGATTTTGACATTAGCATTATGTTTTCAGATTATGTAATGTATCCAGACAAACGATCTCTATTCATTAGGACTCGTAGAAATTTCGATTTTGAACTTACAAAATAAGTTCGCTTGAGGTCAGTCAATCATTTCTGTTGAAATGTAAAAATCAGAAAGATTAGTTTACAAATTTTCAGCATTCTTGATTGTGGATTTTTCAAAGTAAAATGTATCTCGAATATTTTTAAAACTGTCAAATGTTTTGTACCTTTCTATCATTGATAAATATTCAATGTTCAAAAGAATTTAGATTATACATTTCATATGTTCTCTATTGTAGTAAAACTTCTGCGTCGACACGCAAATGTGATATTTGTCTCGTCTTGCAACCTGAACAGAAGTTTTATCCTATGTACAGTGAAACATGTCAACATACATGTCGGTATATTTGCAATTCATGTACATACTACAGCGTCAGAGTTCTTCTCGATGGTACAATCAGTAGCCAGATATCGTGTCCTGAGACAGACTGTTCGGCAACGTGGAGTTCAAACGAAGTTTGTCGAGTACTTCTAGATAATAATGATAATGTATTATTGTTAAAATACGATGCTTATCTAATCAGACATTTCCTCGAAAACGAAAATAACTTTTTTTGGTGTGCTCATAACTGTGGTTCTGGTCAATATGATTATAGAAGATCAATTCGAAACTCAAAAATTACTTGCATCGTATGCGAAAAAGATACCTGTGCCTTTCATCGTGTTAAGTGGCACGAAGACATGACTTGTGATCAATATGATCGACTGTACCCATCTGCCGATAAGGGAACACGCAAGTGGATTAAAAAATATTCGAAAAAATGTCCCGGATGCCAAAGCAACATTGAGAAGAACGGCGGCTGCGATCATATAACTTGTCAAAAATGTGGATATCAATTCTGCTGGGATTGTCTGGTCAATTATACACCATTTAGAAACGTCTCACGTGTTGGACATAAAATTAGTTGTAGACATCATCCAATTGGAAAGTTTGTGACACCTGTTCGTCTATTGAAATTTCGAACGCATCAATAATCTCAAGTCAAAACAGTCGGATGTGGATGTGTGAGTATGTGTGTGGTTTTGGACGTGTGCGTGGAGTATTGAGTGTGAGTGTGAGTCGATTTGGATGTTTTGTTCAGTGACACGCCACAGCTAAATATCGTCAGTCTCAATCACATTGAAATCCACATCCACACACTGCTTTTTATTTTTGAATTGTCCCTTAAAAGAAACTTTCAAGCATGCGTATAAAATATAATTCAAAAAAACGACTTTATTAACTTGATGAACATTATCAAAAATGTGTACTTTTTGAGAAGAATAAATGATATTCATTATTTGTTAATATTTCACAAGACAAAGGATTCATAGTATATGTAAGATTTATAAAGAGAACTTCTTATTCATTATGTCGGTTTGTTGTTCCTCTGTCTACAATGAAATCTTTTATTTTTATAAGCAGATACAGTTCTCGATCAACCTTGATTTTATGACTATAATCAACACGGATTTGTTCTAATGTATATAGGTTTAAAAAATAGATATATAAAATTATTATAATCAAAACAAGAAAAATCTTTATTTAATTCACATATGTTCTTAAATTAATGCTTTTTTAATAATTGAATTATATTTTCTAGTAAATCACGATATATAAATTCATGTGAGAATTCATACTGTTCGAAATAACCGACAAAGCTTCTCAGTAGTTTGTTACAAGATCGGATAAATTTATGAATTGAAAAGTGCAGTCATTGAATAATTTCATGTAAATTTTAAAAGTTTATATTATATTGATTAAACCATTTTCGTGTTGGATAAATCAATTTTTCTAGAAAGTCTTGGTCTATTTCACTATTTTTGATTTTCTTTTTCATGCTTGAAATCTTCTTATTAAATAAATACCAGCTTCTGCAAGAATATGTTTGTGTTTATCAAGTGATTTTATTAAGGACAATGTGTAATAAAAGATTCACAAAAGAGTTATATCAAATGCACATTTGTCACATACACAAATATTAATACGGTCTTTTATACATTCATTTGCCTTTATTAATTGGTCAATGTTTTTTTCAGTATCAACAAACTCTATTTAGTATATATCACAAGCATCATTAATAAGAGCTGATTGTTCATAATCCATTTCATTGTTTGTTATTAAATCTAAGTCATTAATAGATCTTCTTTTTTCAATAAATATTATTAAAAGCTTTTTATGGTTTATTTCTTAGATAAGAACAACCAACAAGCTGTAATTTTCTAGTAAAAAAATGTAGAAAGATTCGTCATAAATGCAACAGTAGTTAATACGAATACTACAAACAATGATCGAGCAGTATAAATTGAATTATCATCTTTTACACAAATTTTGTATTATTCTTTGTTTTTCTAAAACTATTTTAATCTTCGACGATTTGATAGGCCGCATATAATGATGACAGTAATATACTGAAATAAAGGGCAAAATACCATACATTCAAAGAATATAGTTTGAAACACAAGAACGACATTATTTACGTAGTAAATTTTGAGAATATTTACTAACAAATAAATAGAAATGTATCGATTTTTAAAAGATGTCATGTAGAAGCGGTAGTAACACAGAGAATATGAAGAAAGAGAAACGATAGTGTTGTTATTTTATTTGATTATTCCATTGTTTTCTTAAAATTTTGTATGTGTCCTAGAAGCTTCTTATGAACAAGAATATCTTGCGACAGTGATGATGTGTGTGAGGGTACAGACAAGATCAATCAACGCGCCCATACTCACACTGAATGGATGAAAAAAAAATCAAAAGGAAAAATATCAAAAGGAAAAATATCGAAAGGATAAATGGGCGAAAGTAGAGGCGCCACTTTCCACATGCTACCGCATCACTTGCATGTTTTATGGCGCCTCTATTTTCGACATTTTTTCTTTCGGTCTTTTTCCATCATACCATTGAAAACATCGTCATAAGCTCGCCGCTGCTTGAGTCCTGGCTTTTATAAACGATGCTAGAGTTTGTTCTCATTTGATTCTGATGTGTCTATCAAAATCGTTCTTCTATAAGCATTTGTCGATCTACTTAATAAATCGTTAGACAAATAGGCTTTTCTGGTTGTAAATAGAAGAGTAGCAGGTTGAGATCGACTCGCAGTCCTTGAACTCCATCAGACATACTCGACAATTAAAATCAATTTCACTATAACAAGCAACCAAGAATCACTATTTGATTCTACAATAGGAACCGACAGTGATCATAAAAATAAACAGTTGTATGTTATCCAAGCCAGCAGAAACTCATTTCATGCAAGTTACCTCAATTCAAAAGCAGCTTGAATAGGCAATGAGAACGACCATACTCATTTTGTAGCATACAAATATCCTTTCACAGAAGATCAACAAAATCTGGCGCATGATATAACGTTAATCAATTATCATGCCAAAGTGAAACTGCTGTTGCTTGAATAAAGCTAACTAGCGATGGATCATACATGTCTTTTCTGATTATTATCCATTTTTTTTTCAAGGAAAATGTATTTTTAAAAGTTTTAGCTTAGACAAAAACGTTTTTGAAAGTCAATAAAATTTCTCCTTTTTTTATCGATTGATACGAATTTCTCTATACGAATTCGTATAGAATAATAAGAAGTTTACCAAGCAATAGAGATAAAAGGGACCACATGCATCTTAGATTAAGTAGAAGTTGTTTCAAAGAACAGCAGTTCATATTCTCTGGCTAATCGAAATTGAGTTAGCGTGAACCATCCGCACTGTCCTCAAAGAACACCATCGACTTTTATGTAATTTGGGTGTGGGTGTTCGCAGATGTAGTAGCCGTTGCAAATGTGAATGAAGAAAAAATTCTCCCACCTACACCCACATCCACGCCCACACCCTCCTTTGAATATTAACATTTGATATATTTCTTTTCTGTGAGATTTCTAGAACTCAGTTGAACCATTTATGCACATGTTTTCAGTTGTACGTTTATTGGCAAAGAAGAATAAGCACAATGTGTAAGAGATAAGTTTAGGTCAAGTCATACAGCATTAACAGGTGTTTAAAAAGATATTGACAGTTCCACCGTTATGAGAGGTAGCGATATCCAGTCGACCATCTTCGTTGAAGTCATGCACAGTCAACGATAAAGGATTCAAATCAGTGATAAAAGTGATTGCTGTTGCAAAGCTTCCATTACCATAACCAAGAAATACACTCATATAGGCGGAATAAGTACCGATAATTATGATATCGATATAGGTATCGCCATTCAAATCACCAACAGCTACTTCATACGAACAATCACCAATCGCATAAGTCGTTTGTGGTCTAAAGGTTCCATCTCCATAGTTAAGTAGTACACTCATCGTGTTGTCTCCACAGTTGGTAGTAACCAGATCCATGCTATTATCACCATTGAAATCTCCAATAGCTAGACCCCATGGGTTTGCGCTTGTTGAAAATGTCTTTCCTGCTCGAAAACTACCATCGCCACATCCAAGATGCACACCCACACTGTTATTAGCCCAATTAGCGACAGCAAAATCCAAGTGATTATCATGATTGAAATCAGCAACACGTAATAGAGTTGGAAACATGCCAGTACCAATAGTTGTCTGAGGTCTAAAAAGTCCATTACCATAGCCGAGTAGTACACCAACATTGGTCCAATAATTGTTAGCGACAGCGAGGTCTAACACATTGTCACCGTTGAAATCACCAACAGCAATTCCATATGATTTGTTACAAATTGGAAAATTCAATTGTGTATCGAAAGAGCCATTTTCCAAGCCGAGTGATACTCCTAAACTCGAAATTGTGTTGTGAACAACAGCGAAATCCATTTTACCATCACGGTTGAAATCATTGGCGACAATATAGACGGGAGTAGCACTAGTTGGAATAATCATTTCTGTTTTGAAGCTTCCATTACCATAACCAAGAAATACACTAACAGTGCTACTCGCATAGTTTGCAATACTGAGATCCATGTGATTGTCGTTATTGAAATCAGTAGAGGTGATCGAATAACCGATCGAACCAGCTCGGAACATAACACGTGAGGCAAATGTCATTCTACGGCATCGTGGGCCTAAAAAACGAACAAAAATACCTAATTCAGATTAAGTTAGATTTTGATAAAGCATAGTTCAAGCGGACAATGCAAATGTTTGAATACACTTGAATTGTGCCTAAAATATGGCATTCTACCAATGTACATTGATTTCTGATCATACTCAGTTATCCTACTCAGGATAGTAGCATTGCAATGAGATCAATCACGCATAGCAATGCCATAGTGTAGAAAAACTGCGTAATTGATAGAAATTCAGCAATCAAGCACAAAGTTATGCCTTGCCGAGGATGTGGGTGTGGATGTGGATATGAGTGAGAATGAATAAACGACTAAAACCCACACTCACACTCACATCCACATCCATATCCTCAGCCACACCCTCATCGTACTTATACTGGATGTCGAAGCTTCTTTTTCCATCGTTTGTGTAGAGGACACCAGGTTTTTAACCGCCACTGTTGATAAACCGTCCGTTGTACAGCTATGAGCCATCATCGTACATGAAGAGCTGTTCATCCATGTTGATGTTGCGACTCCATGGTAAAAAGTTGTCATCTTATTTGTCGTCGAAACGGCCATCAAGCTAATCTGCATTGAAGTTCCATCAGAGTTTGTCAATAATGACTCTGTGGAGGCTCCTTTGTTCATCATTATGGTTTTGGTTGTAAGCGAATTGATCATTGAACCAATTAACATAGAAGTTGCAACAGTGACTGGCGAATGGTATAGCTGCGTAGAAGGAAAGTTTGTTGCTGTTTGTATCGGCGTGTTAGAAACGACTCCTAAAGTTGGATTTGAGAACTAAATATTATTTAAAAGTGTCAATCTCGAGACTAAAGAGAAATGCTTCATAGACTCGTCTATACTTGTGAGGATTTTATATACTGGGACGTCGGAATATTCGTGTAATATTCGTTGTAGTAGTTCAGAACAAAAAAAAAATGTTTCTCACGATTATTGACAATGCTCGTGACATGTTACTTGTGACACGTACGAAATAGGATGCGAGTGACGTATTCAAATGTTGTTTTAATGCTTGACAGATTTGTTTGTGTATATGGTTTTTGGGGTGCTCAGAATAGGTTTTTCTCGAAAAAGCATTATGAGAGTATCCCGTGAAACATTTTTTGGAAAACATTTGGCAGTGTCAGAGTCGCTGATTTGATCATGTATGAGTTGAAGAAAGGGAATCAATAACTATTTCTCGTTCTACTTGTGTTTATCCTCTCCTACCAGCTTCAGTAGTTGTTGTGTTTGATAATGGTTTTAGATGACCGTGAGTGAATTTTAAAGTTGTGATGAGAATTGTTAATACTAACATTGTTCCGAGAATCATTCCAAATATACATAGTGACCGTATTCTCATAATACCCGTTCTTGAAAAGAAAATTGGAAAAAGAAAATAATAAATTATGATGATTGATTGTATGTATACTTAATGTTAATCATTGCTGATGTCGATAACCACTCAATAGTTTCTTTGTCAGTAGTGAATGATGTTGTGTGTTCCTGCAAATACTAGATGTAATGATTGCAAACGTTTTAGATTTTTATCAATATAGTAGAACATTGATAGAGCTACTAAGTATGTAATAGTGGCATCGCAGTACATTTGACTAATTAATCTCTTTGATTGAGATTTGACGTGTTGTACTCTCTAGAAATAATTCGCTTTCTGGAAAACCCAAATCTGTTCGGAAGTCCTTAAGTTTTCAGAAATACTAATTTCAACAGTGAGAAAGTATTTTGGAATGCCTTTCTTTTGCCATCAGAAACCAAATAGTATTTTCAAAAACTGTAAAAAGTATTATAGAAAATTAATATTGCTAGAAAAACTGAGTTGGTATCTGAATATTTGTTTGGCAGTCTAAAAGGTTTCCAAAGTTTGAAAAATCTTCAGAATGTTCGATAAAAAAAAAGTGATGATTTGAATCCGAAAACTTCTCAAAAGAACATTTTTGGTGCTCGAATTGTTTTTTCTCATCTTCGTTTTTACTCACCTTTTAGATTTTTAGTGAACTGAAGACTGCGCATATATTTAGTAAAATGTATTTAATTGCAGATCATTCTTTCTTTGCATCATTATTTTTTTCGAAATCTGAAACCATTTCATACTTTCGAAATAATCTAATGTTATTTTTACATTCATAACTTAGTCTCAATTTTGAATATTTCAGGAAAAATATTATGCTTAGGATTTACCAAAAAGTAATATTTTTAATCTAAAAAGTAAATCTTTTGTTTTTTCTTGACTTTCTTCATTAAATTTCAATAAAACAACGATTAAATTTAGCCATTGTGATTTTTAATAGTTGCAAAGAATGAGCAAATCATAAGTTTTCGGTTTTAGATGGTTATTATAACTGCCTTATTCCTAAACATGAGAGGATTGAAGGCTTTCAAATCAGATGAAAAATTTCAACTTGAGTAAATACGTACACAGAGTATTATCATTTATATAATATCTAAGCAATATGTGTGTACATTGTTGTAAAAAGAGTAATGAATCATAGTTCTAAAATGCACTTTTTATTCGATCTTTTTCTTTACTTTTATTTTGTGACCAAATAAAAATGAAAAATTAAGCCTTTAACCTATAGATTTATGATGATGCATTTATGTTCAACTATTATTCACTCTAATTGATTTAAGGTATGATAAACAAAAGCAGTCAAACAATATTTAGAGGTTCCATAAAGAATACAACATTGAACTTCAAGATGAATCTTCAATCATCATTTATTCCGTGATTTGAACAAACAGAAACTAGTGAAGCATCATTAAATGATGATAATGGAAATAAGAATGGTGGTTTAACAGTTATGTATGAACAAAATAATAGTAAACAAACATTCAATAAGGTTCAAGTGTTGCTATCTCAACCAAATTGAACTGATTAACAAACTATTCAAAGAAAGAAAGTAGATCAACTATGTGATCTTGAAGATTCATCCGAAAAAATACTCCATCAACTAAAAAAAAACTCTCATACTACTCACCGAAATAACGCTGAAAGTAAAAAAGATGCAATAACAAAAAGTAAACAAAACCTTTCTTTAATAAACTCTCTTTTCCTCTATTCTTTCAAAAAATGAATTGTCTTTATTTCAATTCTTTTACATAAAAAACGGTTATGAAATGATTTTTTCTTCTTCAAAGACTTTTTAAATTTCCTATTGGTTGTGAGAGTACGTTTGTATCGGTGTTTTGAAAATAACCATGAGTAAAAAGTTATATTAAAATTAGCTTGCTATTAAGAAACATTTTTTTAAATTATATTTTTGATTTTATTTATAAACGACTGTTATTCTCAAAAAGATAACGCGTGACGAAAAACTATCGTTTCCGATGATAAGCTAAATATAAGTTGAGATTCATATTGATAAAATAACAACGATAAGTTATATATTAGAAATAGAAAATAACTATTTTCTTCTTTATAGTTAGATTCGTTTCGATAGAACACAAATGTTAAGTAGTATGAAAAATAATCCATGGCTTCCTTTCACATTTTAGTGGTTCTCTTCCTGCTATTCTAAATAGATCGTTGAGTAGAACTTTCGATAGTGTTTATTTGATGTCTTTCAAGACCTCGGCACCTGTTTAATGGATTCGATAGTCTTTACTCAATATGATGCCTGTAAGCTTTTCGTGAGCTGGGAAACCTGCCATCCATTTGTGAGATTAGCACAATATAAATTATTATAACTGTCTTTTTTGGGATTTCCGACAGTACGTTTTTTTAGATACTATGGCAAGCAAGCTTACATAATAACTCAATGACTCAAGAAAGTCATGTTTGTTGGTGTTGAAACTTTTAGAATTTTCTAATGGTTGCTAAGCTTATCTATGGACAATGTTTCAGATCGAAATTGTGTAATTCGTTTTGCTTAAAAATCCTCGTTTGTGGATCGGAAGATTCAATAAAATGGGCATATTTTTCGATCAATATGTCATGGGTAGATATCCATTTAGAAAATGTGCATTGTATTTATGTGCAACATATATTTCTTTTATACTCAACCAAGTATGTTTATCTCAAAGAAAGCGACTGTAATGTCTATTTTAAGGTTCAAAATGAGTTGTTTTATTATTTTCACGCTTGCGTAGAGTAAATAATGACATTTTTTGTATTATTAAAAGAAAGACTTTCGTTGATGATATTGTAATTTCAAAAGTAATAAACTTTTTGAGAGTCACTCGAATAGTATGGAAACGTGAATAAAGGAAAAAGAATTTTACTATATTTTATTTATAATGATATGGAAGACGATCCCTGTAATGAACTGCATACACTAACTGACAAAACTCTAGATGTCTTTCATCTGCAAATCCGTTTCTAGTTATTCATGTAAGTCAAGATAGCAACAGGTCCGAGCAACATTCTACCGAATCAACTTAGGAACTTGTTCCAAAGTCTCTACGCTTACTTGAAACATAACCTATTGAGCTTTATCAAATGGTATAATCTGATTGCTAATAACTCAAAATATGCCCTCAAAAACTCCATTATAATAGAAAAAATCTTGGGAGAAAATATAAAAAAATTAAATTAGTTTCGATTAAAATGTGCACTTTGCAAGTCAAAACTTCATCTTGTAAAACACAATTGTAAATGAGTGTTGAAGTTTGGAACGAAAAAACGAAACCTTCAGCATGTTTCACAAACTGTAACAGATCTTACTGGATGGCGTATATGAATTACGAAATAATTCAGAGAACATGAATTATAAAATAATTCGAAAAAAATCCTACAGGTTCACCAGGGACAGCCAGGACACTGATATTACTAAGCTAGATTCTATAAATAATTCTGTTCTATAACATATAGAAATTTTGAATTATTTTGTAATTCATATTCGTCATGAATTCATCTCTAGAACTGATCATAATGTAAAAGAAGATGAAATTGGTTTGATACACAATGAAATTCATGTTTTATGGAGACTTTGAAGTGTTTAGCCGAAAGTGTGCTATAGATGTTTGCAGAAATGATTACTACACTCTATAATAGGTTCTACACAACCATCATAGATGTGACAGATAATTTGCTTCGCATATTTATCAGATCTCATGCAAGCAGTCTACTATACTCAAAATATACTTCAACAATGATCGATGATCATGTGTTCACAAATACTGATGTCATCATAGATCCAAACTTTTTTTTTGGGGTGAGTATGAGTTTTCTGTTCATTTGCACCCCATCATACATTCTAATCATGTGTGTAGATAGGTGATTTTTGTCGAATATTGGTCTAGTTGCTAAAATAGTGTTTCTTGTCAGCTGCAGTTGTGCCCCGCATTGGTATCTCAGACAGACAAAACTTTCGAAAAACGCGTTTAAACGCACAATCGGGAACCGCGACTGTGATTCATTCACGCTCATTAAAAAAACGCAAGAAACGACGTTTTTTGAATAAAATAGTCACTTTTCAAGCGTGAAAATGGTGGAAAACTTAAATTTCTAGTGTTAAAACGTTCTCTTTTTCTAGATTTAAAAAACGACATGTTTAGATGCTCAGTTTTTTATATTTTTGCCGTTTTCACGCTTGAAAATTAACTATTTTGCACAAAAAACTTCGTTTTTTGCGTTTTTTTAATGAGCGTGAATGGATCACAGTTGCGGTTTCCGATTGTGCGTTTAAACGCGTTTTTTGAAATTTTTGTATGCTTGAATACTGCACACAACATGTATCGTTCTATAGTAGACCATACAAAATGAAACGAGTTGATATAGTCGTATGAGAAAGTGATCTTCTTTACAAATCTATAAATAGTGTGATGATACATCACACAAACAATGTCTTTAGTGGTACAAGTACAGAGAGTAAAAGTATTTTACTTGTAGTTGTACTTGTCTTTGAACAACAATCTGAAATACCTACATCCGAAAATAATTTCAGATTCAAATACAGAATAAAACAGGGATATTTTGATACTATAATACTATTTAAGAAAATCATGGAATATAGATTAGCAAGTGGAATAGAGTTTTTCTTTTAACGATTGATGATCATTATCAGCAAGGTCTAAATCAGAAATTCTTCATCCATTCTTACAGAACAAACTAGCAGAGTTCGACTGTTATCGAATGAATTAGTTCTATTGAACGAACGATTCAATTCTATTTCTAGTGTCTGATTGCGATATCGTTTACTATTTAAAAGTAAAGAGAATTTTGATAAGAATTTCTTCAGAGCAGCTCATTCGAAAAGTTTCTTTTTTTTTCTCATAAAATTGTAAGAGACTAATCAATTGAATGAATAATCACACTGCTGTGAAAACTATTCTGGATCTACTACGAATACTCATCAATGAAGAACTATGTTTACTTGAATTTTTATTTAAAATGAAATGATCATTTATAGATAAATATCGAGATTATTTAAGTAAAAATATTTTTTATAGAGTTCTTGATATTTTCATATCGATAATCAGATCTTATTTTTAATTTATTAATATGTGAATTCGATTCAATCATTACTTTTAGCGTTCGATTATGCTTTTCTATATAATAGCACAAACAAGCGACATCTTTTATTTCCTGACAGCCAAGCGGCTGGCTGTCAGACGAATGATAAATTCTTTGAACTTGACAGCAGCTGTATATCTGTAAATGAGTTACAAGAAAGAAGTCGAAGAATGAGTGACATCGATTCAACGTCAAGGTAACAAGAATGTGGTTAAGTTCATCGTTATCGTAATACAAAGGTTTTTTAAAAATGTTTTCTATCATAGAATACGAGAACGAAATAGTCATGAATTGTATTGGGATGATTTGAATAAAGCAAAATTCTTAAGTCTACTTACTGCTAGTTCATTAGTAGTACGAACATGTTTTCATCCATTAGGTCTTATCAAGATTCGTCTTCAAACAAGAGCCAAAGGTGGCTTATCAACGGTATACATGATTCAACAAGTATGGTGCAAAGAAGGACCAATACGTGGTTTCTATCGAGGCTTTCCAATTAGTCTCTGTAGTCTTATTTTTGAACCTGTTTTTACAGCAGCACTTGAAAAAACGCGAACAATTCTTAAAAGTAATCGACCAAGTTCTATCACTCATTCTCAATGGGATATTATTACTAGTACATTGTCCGGTTGTACAGCGACTCTAATTTATCAATCTTTAACTGGTAAATGACTTTAATTTATGAAAATAATTTGAACAAAAAATGAAATAGATCTTCTATTTTAGTACCGATTGATGTAACCTCACAACGAATTATAATTACTCGAGCACGTGATGATGTACATGTTGCCAATATTATTCATGATATATACTATCGATCAGGTGATGGTATTCGTGGTTTTTACAAAGGATATTTAGTATCACTGTCAATGACAATTCCATATAATTCAATTATGTGGACAATTTATTGGCGAATTCAAGCAAAACTTGAACGAATTATTCCGTTCGAATATGATCGAATAGTAGCCCCTCTTTCAGCTATCATGGCATCACTATTAACATCACTTTTAACTCAACCTATTGATGTTCTTAAAACTCGTCTTCAAGTAGCTTCAAAACGACAATCACTTTGGAGAACATTTCGAATTTTAATCGATGAACGTGGTTTAAGAGGTTGTTTTTCTGGATCTTTACCTCGAGCTTGTATTCTTGTACCCTATTCTATTATAATGATGTCTCTCTATGAAATAATCAAACGAACATCTGTACGACCTACTCCAAATTAACTTTTTTTTCAATCCATCCACAAAAATGTTTTCTTTTCGTATGGCAAGAAAATCTTCAAACAATGAAAAATTCTGTGATATAATTTCTCCAATGAAAAATATGTATATTATCAAATAAAATGATTTGTATATTATTAAACTGAAATACTAAGTGAAAATAAAGTATATGAACAATCGTATTTGTTTTTGGAATATTTTAAAATGACTCTTCATACAAGCTCAATATTTTTTATAGACAATACTTGAAAAATTAGTGAAATCTAATCAGTCAAATAATTCAAATAGATATGACAATGATGAGAAAAATTTCAAATCAAAATTACTTAATTGTACACAAATTTAATGACGATCAATGTCACTCGCTTTTTATATCTTCTATTGAAGATAAACAACTAAAGTGAACCTGTGAACATACATTTCTCTTAATTTTGTTTTTCTGCAATACTCAATCAACAGTAACCGAAAGACACTACAAACATGTACTGCGCTCTACTTAATAAAAAGTAGAACTACTAGGAAGATACAATACAAATATAATATTTTTTCGTTATTATTTTCTGAAATCCACGTCCTCAATGGTCATATCTCACGCCACACTAAGAATGTGTACGGTTGATCTTCTCATAAAGTGGAAATTCCATTTTTTTTCTCAGTTCTTTCATCATTTTTTCCTGAAGTATCTTAAATAATATGTGTAGCAAATACATTGGCTAAAGTTATCCTACACAATGATGTTCCAGGCTTTTAGTGAGGTCCGAGAATAGATGCTTAACAAGTATCAATCATTTTTAATATCGTTTTGTCTAAAATACAAGTATAATAAGCCTTCTAAAGAGAGTACACTACCAAAGTAATGTTCTCATCATACCCATTTCATTATTCTGACCATTTCACTATTAATATATCTGACATCTTATTCTCTTTTTTTTTTTATGTTGGTCTTATGATAAGAAAGTAGATGTTTGTACATGAATCCAGTATGAATGATCCAATATCTGTGCTAATCGATGTGAGAAAATTATAATCTCTGTTCTGCATGTCAACAGAAAGAACACCAAAGGTGTATGTTTTCCCTTCGTCTACATCTCCACACCACAGCCAACATTCATCGGGTGTGGGTGTAAGCATTCTCAATAATTCCAGCCCTAGAAACAGTTACGCCACATGCGCACGCTACTTCCTGGCTACATCGAAGACAGTAGACGCCGTTTTATATATTGATTTATAAATCACCACTCAGTTATCGATGAAAACAGAGAAAGAGAGAGAAAATGAAAGTAGACATATGATAACTGTTGTGAAATGCACATTACGATGCAAAAAAAAATAGGATCATACCTTGTATTTGGATACAGAGAGGAAATTGAATGGATCAAACGATGATGAAACATGGATTAAAAATACGTAAAGAAGAAGAAAATAAAATACATGCATGTATGATACTACCCAAACATGTCCGCTATTCGCAAAAACAGCATCGTAATAATTGCACTTTAACTGATTCCTTCTTGTTCTAACTATTGTGTATATTGTTCAAATTTCAGACAACCGTTAAAACTTCAAATGAATTCGTGTGGAAAAACGATTAAAACAGCTTTTTCTTTGCTCTTTTTATACAAATATAAATCATTCAATGAGCGATAGCTAAAAATCTGTTATATTGGCGTCATGAAAACATGCTCGGCAGTACTAAACTTCAGTTTTCGTTTGTTGTAAACAAAATAAAACTTTCCTATTAAGTTAGACTAGTCATCAAATACAATGCAGTGGATTTTATTCTTCGAGAATAGACACTCATATTGAATGTGGTCAACAGTTCACGTAGCTCTTTATTGAATAACGGCAGATATTGACATATGTCTCGTGCACATGACATTATTCTCTTTGAAACTCATAAAATTACACCACAAATTTATCAAGCCGATAGAGTATAATTGTGAACGCGTAGGAATGTGCATCTTTTCTCCATTATTATATATACCTATATCCACATTCCACACACATGCGCATCTGTCAAAATCATGCATAATAGAGAAACTGTTTAAGAGAAAATTTTCATTAGATTCACGAAATGTTATACAAGAACACATAAAGCTGATTTTGAATGCTTATTCATTACATGTTCATCGTTTTTCTTTTGTTTTGCAATCCACATCATAGAGCTCACCATATTTGCATAATGGTTATCATAAAAATCGACACCATGTTCGCGTTTTGATTGTTCTTGTAGATTCTGCAAATGTTTTAACGGATTTTGCTGATAAAGACTTAAGAATATCTGAGCGTATACGCAGAGTGCTTCACCGTCATAAAATGTGCATAGTTGAGGCACAAGAGTTCTTTCAGTGCACCACCAAGCTCTCACTTCAGCTTTAGACCATGTGCGAGGTGATGTTTTCGGCAAAGAATATTCAATATTAGTTTCAGAAATTTTGGTTCTTAATGAGTTATTATCTTCCTTTATCATAGATGGTATAGAGACTTCATGTGCGGAGTGACCCAGTGGTGTCTGCGATGGTTCCATAGTCGCTAATGGATTGTTACGTGCGGCTATGTATGTAGCTAGACGAGCAATTCTTTCAGCAAATGGCTTTCTGCCAAACTTAACATGCACTCCTATGAGATGAATATCAAGCCAAGGTTCCGCCTGATAATTGTCATCAATATATAGAGCAATTATTGGAATTTTGAGTTTAATAGCATAAGTGGCTTCAACACGGCATGAATCGCTTTTAGTACAGTAGTTTTCTGAGACAACAATTAATATCGTGCTTGCATTCCTTATAGCTATTGCTATTTCTTCCCAACAGTCATTTGACAAACAGTGTCCATCTTCATCGATCCAGACTGAAATGGAGTATTCTTTGAGAGCAGCGACAACCGATCTGCAGAAATTTGCATCTTTATGTGAATAAGAAATCATGGGAATTTTCGTGACAGGTGTGTTGACAGCTTTGTTATCATTTGTGACAGATATCTTGAATTTATCGAGATAGACCAATATTCCATCAGCAGCAGCTTTAATACTCATCAAGTTATTTCTCAAAGATGATGGAATAAACGTCTCGATATTTGAAGTCGATGAATTTGAAGCTTCTGAAATAGTTTTTATGAATCTTGGATTTTCTTTCAATTCTTGTTGAACAGATTCATGAAACGCAAGGCTACATAAAATATTGTATAGTGCTAGTCGAATGAGATGTTTTACGAATAGATCGTTAGCGGAGAGTATATCGTGCTTGTATAAAAGTTCAATAAAGAATGCGAGACCACCTAATTCACTATCATTTAATAGATAGGTCGCCACATTATCATTAATGAGAAGTTTAGCGAGTGGTACCAAGTATTCGTAAAGATGGCCCGTTTTCGAACGCAAATTAGTTGAAGCATTGGCTTCACGAATTTTAGCGATTAAATAATCAATAGCCGGCTTAAGAACTGTTAGAGTCTTGAGTTGATCAGCCGTTGATATCATCGCATAGATTCGAGGATAAAATGATGAAGTAAAATGATTTTTTTCCAGTCTGTTAGCTAAAGCACTTTTGGACATTTCTAAAGCAGTCATTGCACAGGCTTCGTTCAATGCAATCACACCTTCTTCACATTGACTCACATTGCTCATTGCAACAATAAGTGAGTCAAGTGGATCAGATGAAATATTACGTTTACTAATCATATTTAACCATTCGACAAGTTTTGCTGGAAAACCAAAATGAATTACCGTAGGTAGCAAACTTTTACTATCCGACATAACAACGATAAGGGAGACAATGACCTGGACACATTCGTTTCTTTCTGCATCTTCCGTTGTGTCAGTGAAGAAATGATCAATAAATGTAATAATCTTATAAAATACAGCATCATATCGTTCTTCATGCAAAGACTTGTGAGCTGTGTAATCAGACAAGTTTAGATGTTCCATGTATCGGCTGTCTGCCCAAACAACGATTTTAGTCAATTTTAAAAATATTTTAACGTAGAACTTGAAAGTGGTTCCCACATCAGTTTCAGTTAGATATGCAGAGAATTCGTTCGTGCTCAAACCATCCATTGCTATAGTATAATACTCTTTTGCTGATAGAATTTCGTTTTCAATTAATTCACCGAGTTTCGAGCAAATCATGTTCCAAATCTGAATCATAACAGTCATAAATAATGAGTACTTGGCCAATGAAGACGAGAACGTAATTGAAATTTTACAAAAGCGAATAAATATATTGGGCAACTGACACTTTCGTATTTGCTCATTTGATGTTAGTCGATTTTTAATAGCTGGATTAGTCAGATAGTTTTTCAAGACAGATAGTATATTGTTTATTTCATTTGTATCAGAACTTTGTTCAGGTAGACTTGTGCATAAATCAAGACGGTCAATTAATTCATTGATTTTGATCAGATCTGCGTTTTTTTCAGTAGTATTCTCAGTGTTATCTTGAAGCTGATTCATTACTGTAGCTATGTAATGGAGGTAGCCTTTTGAGTTTTTAATGGTAACGTATGAATTGCATTTTTTTTCTCTTCATTCTCGCATTTTTTTTATGTTTTGCGTTTCTAGGTAAAGATGGAAGAAAGAAAAAAAGAAAAACAAAAGAAAAAGAATGAAAAAGGTTAACATCGGAGTTCCTCATGAAATGAAATTCTAAACAGAGCTACGTCTTATCAAAACATACATATGAAGGACATATTGATAGAATGTTTTATAAATTGCGAACTTTGACGCAATTACGTAGTTTATATAAAGACAGGCAATAATATTTAAATGAATGTATTCATATGAATTTGAGTATTCGGGTCGATATTTCAAATAGCTTAATATTTGATGACATCCTTTCTTGTGATAATGTTTATATAAGAATGTCATTATCATGAAAAAACAAGGGTGTTGGATGAATGCGGGTGTAGGTGTGCGTCTCCACTTAAATCACACACACTAACCCCCTGTTTGTGCTTGGCTTCTGCTATTCGTCCATTGGAGAAGCGATAGCCATAATTCTACTTCTATGTTTCAATACACCTTTTAGGTCATGTTTCACAAAAAAGATATATAATCTTTTTCGAAAAATTGTAGAAAATAAAGAACGAGCAATACACATTGATACAGTCGCTATCACCTGCACGTTGTGTTATGAACTCTAGCAGTAATAAATATTTATCAAAAACAAATGAGAAAGCCCTTATTTCAAATAATAGAGAACTTTTTCTTGTGAGGAAAAGACAACATAAAACAAAAATAGTGGAATGCGTTCCGAATCGTTCAAGAAAGTTTCTTTTCCTAAAAGAACGACTTCATCTATCTACATCACTTGCCCTATATGTTCAACATTGGACGGCGTAGAATATATATAGCAACTTCTGAAACATTTTTCTTTCCTTAAGAAGTGGACTCTCACATTTTCTGAATGCCTTTTTTTATTTATAAAAAAGAATAGTGAATTCTATCCATGTACAAAAGTATTCCTCAAGAAGACGTCGTTGCAAATGATAAAAAGCTTTAGAAATGAGCGTTTCTTCATTATGTAGCGCATATCGAGACTAGATAAATTTTAGAATGAATGTTTCTCTTGAGTATTTTTTCTCAAGTTATACCCAACTTACAAAATGTTTGGCATCTATATCAAAGCAAATCATTAAAACGCTTGAGATTTGGAATTTTTATTTGAAATTTTGCTCAAGAAGGGATGTCACTGTTGTTAGGATGCACTGAAAGTCTTAGCCAAAATGAATGCTTACAGCCGAAGATATAGAATTCTCAAAATAGTTTAAATTTCATGACTTACTTGAGCAGAAGGCAAGCATTTGGTCAGTCGGGTATAGCTTGAGAAGAAAGACTCAAAAGAACGATTTACTCTAGACTTTGTCTAGTCTCGATATATCCTATATAACGAAGAAATTTTCATCTCTAAAGCTTTCTATCACTAACGATGATTTCTTAGTCAGTCTTTATCATATAAAGAATGACAAAGAAAAACGAATTTCATAGTTCCTGAAATCTAATGAACAGATGATCAGGACTACGTCTGTTAATTTAGGTTTTCTTTATTAAATTAAGATAACGCTAGTATTTAGGGTATGGCTGTGAAGATAAATCATGTCTATGCCCGCGTACGTATGAAGCTGCTAAGTTTCCAAATCAAATTGCCGAAAATTAGAAATTCTTGAAAATTTTAAATGAAAATTTCTTTTCTAAGTTTTGATCAATAGAATACAATACCTAACGTATGCACTCTAGAGACCGGCTCGAAACCGAAACTAAAGGCTGTGCTCGTATATGCTTAGTAAAAATGAAAAAAAACAAGAATCCTTTTTCGGTTCCTAAACAAGTATCTTTGGAACCAATGATCTAATAATAGTATACGGATAAGTTTAGTAGGATGTGGATGTGATTTTTCCGATGACATCCATACTCACATCTCTGGTTGTAATATTAAAATGAATCAACGAGAAAAGAGGAGAAAAAACCTACATAGTAGAAATTACTATAACATATTTCTCGAGTGAGAAAGAGAGAAATTCATAGACAGTCGATCAATGTTGATTACGCCTTATTTTCTTGCTTGACAGAGTATTATCAAGGATGATGTATTTAGTATGTGTACATGCTTCTGATCTTTTATCAAATGAGTCGAGAAGATGGTGTGAAAACGTTTGGATGACTTATTGCAAAAGTTGCAGAATTGGATTTTGTCTGTGGATATGAGTTAGATTCTGAATCGGTTGAATTTTTTTCAATTGAGCTGTACCGACTGGTTCAATTTCAGAATTCAACAGGTGAAAAAACGATTATTTTCAATACCAATTAACAAAATATTCCTTTTAGAAATGTGTTTGTTAATACCGCTCTACAATGTGATTGAGTGAAATTCATATAACTCTTGAGATTTTTGCAATGTCAACGTCATCCACTTAGTCCGTCACATATCATACATGTTAATACTAAAAAGTAAAGAAAAACTGTTTCAAAGTTTGTTATGTGATACTTTTTTTTTCGCCGGTTTTCCTTTATTAACATATGATTTCTTTAGAAGTAGTGAGAAGTTTGATGTTTTCATATTCGAAATTGTTACTTAACGTACTTGAAAGTAGAATTTCACTTCATCTTTAGTTGTCTTGAAAAAGTTAAGAAAGGATGTGGATGTGGGTAAAAAGAAAAATGATACTAACATCCATTCTTACATCCTCAAGGAGATAACAAAATAGAAATTTCTAAAGCACTGACACAGAAATTGTTTATGTGACACATATTAATCAGTCTGCCATCTGATCCTATATTATGGATATTCTAAAAACGAAATAAAAATTTCTATTTAAAAATAAATATGACAAATAAACAAACGATAATAAAATATTTGTTTATGACGAATAGATAAGTTCAGTATTTTAATACAAATATTCGATAATAATAAGAAAAAAAAAGACATTAGTTTGATGAAATAATCTGTTGGAATTGAAGCATAACTTTCGATGAATTGGCTTTAGCTGGTAACCGAACAATAATTTCTCGTTTAGTTGATAAATTCTCTTGAGTTAATTTTAATCCATTGACTTGTTCACGAATTTGGCTTCCATTAATAGGTAATCGATAAAGAGTGCCAACTAAAGAAAATATTTCATTAGGTTTAAGTACATCTTTGCGATTTGATGGATCTTTATCATTTTTAATTGCTTCCTTAAAGAGATTGATATCCTCTTCATAGTTTTTCATTATTTGTTCAAGATTATGAATAATATCATTATTTTGGTCTCCGGAATTTCTTTTCATTTGCTCTTCTTGTATAAAATGTTTAAGATATTCTAGAATATCGTCATTTAATGGAAGAATTGAATTTGCATGAAGGAATTTTGCAAGTTTTTTATAAACATTTTCAATTTCAGCTTTTTCAAAACGTAAATCACTAAGTCTTTGATTAATATCACTTAATGAAGATGATTCATTAAGACGAGTTAATTTTGTTACATATTCATAAGTTATATGTTGATGTTTTTTCCATGAACAACCACATTTTTGACACATACCTACAATATCATATTTTAAACATCTATTCTTAGATAAGATTTAAAAATGAAACAATTAACTTATTTCCTTTGGGATTAAAATGTCTAAAACAATGAAAATAACCATCCAAGTGAAAATACTCATTAAGCGAGTACGACACTGTCCTGAGTATTCAAACTACTCGCAAAGAATACTCCACCAATTTTATGCCTATTTATATTTTCTTGTATAGTCTAATGAGTAAAAAATGTGCTACTTATGTTCGTTTTATTTGCAGAATATTGATTTAACGCTGCATCATCTCGTCTTTTTTTTGTATTTGTAACAAAAATCTGTTAAAGGAAGAAAAGTTGAAATGCAACATGCGATCATTCATTATGTTCCATCTCGTTATTCTTCATTTTTCTTTACTTTTATTCATTCTTTTCAATCTCTTATAGAAGAAAGATGAATATTTTTGTTGATTTTTATATAATAAAAATACCGTTCTTTTTTTTTTTTGAAAGAACAAGCACATTCTATGTTTGATAAAATATCTCATGGACAAGAACTTGCACAAGTGCGTGGCCAGTAATTAAATCTCATTGTCAATCATTGTTGTTTTACAAGTTCTTCTTTATTAAGTATATTCTTAATCAAACAAGTTTTGTTATTTTCTTGGTAATGGCGAAGGTTTCGATGTTTCTAGTGTTTGTGTTAAAGAAATCTTAAGATAAAGGGACATGTGTAGTTCTCATAATGATTATTCTTCTTAAATCTTTATTGTTTATGGAAGCGTTTTTGTCTTATTCATTTTGTATTTAAATAAAATGAATGTGCAGGGTTTTCAAAAAGCCAGTACCTGCATAAACTACGAACACCATTTCTCGGGTGCACTTTACATATATTTATATATATAATGTCGAACGTGTGTATGCTTATAACCAGCTAAAAACCATAGAGGCCTAAAATCAGAGGTCAAAACTAAAATATTAATGGTTAAGGTTCGGAATCGAATATTAGGCTTTTGAATTTACTATTATGGCAGCTAACAACCTAGGAGAAAGACAGCGAATTTGATTTAGAGCCTCAATCATTAAAGTTTTACTAGTTAACTTTGACATTTGACTTCTAGTTTTGTAACCGGTTGCAGATCTGCATACTTTCGACATTTTATATATATGAAGGTGATCGGCCTGATCGGATACTTCAATTCTTTTTCTCACGCGCTGCATCTATAAAGTATCAGAAAAATATGTTTGTTTTACCAGCTTTTATGAAGACATCATCCAACATAAATTCATACAAATGACGGAAATATTAGATAGAGATTATAAACATCTGTATATGTCATTCACTGTTTTTGCACGTAGATTTTCAATCGAAATAGAAGATTTCTCTTTATGAATAATGCTTTTTGTTACAAATTTACTATTAGATAAAAATGACATAGCGTAATTTCACGCGACTTATAAAAAAGCGACTAAACGATTAGATTTGCGTGGTTTAATATAACCGAAGTATCATTTAATGTAACTCTTTGAAGAAGTTTTTCTGTGCATAGTGGTAAGTTTAGCGGCCTATTTTGAATGTAGTCTACTCTATTACACGAACAAATGTAACTTTTACTTTCATGTTTTGATCATAAATAGGACATTAGTAAACGACAAAAAATCCATAGAAAAGAATGAATCTATGTTGTAATTTCTCTGTGGTATGTAAGTTTGACCGAAATTTTCCTTTAAGATGCGGATTTTTCAATAAAGTCATATTTTAGAATTTTGACATGGACCTTCGTATACATGAACATGTCAAATTGTCTACCTTGAAGAAAAAATTTCAAAATTTTTCGATGTAGCACCAAAAAGATCTGACTTTTTGAAAATATTCATATTTAATAGAATATCTCTGGCAAAACGTCTACGCTTTGAAAGTTTTTATCTCGATGAAGGAACATAAAAAAACTGGATGTAGTTTTTTCTTCAAGATAGACTAATTGACATGTTCATGCAGTTGAAGTTTCTGATTGAAATTCTAACATATGATTTATACTAAAAAAGCCAGTGTCCTAAAAGAAAGTTTGATTAAAACTTATCTATTTCAGGCTAATTGCAACATAAGCCCATATTCTCGTTGAATTATTTTGGTCTACGAGTACCCTACTTACATAAGCGTTCCGAAGTCATAAGAATTGAGGAGAGCATTGATAATCCAGGAGACCGATCAGAGGATTTTCGCTAAAATTGGCCAGAATTTGATTGGGGGGGGAGGGAGTATATTTGAAAATTCGTGAGCAGAAAAAATTGGATAAAAAGCAGAAAATTTGCTGAGAAGAAAAGCGAAAATTTCTTAAGATTGGGATAAAGAATGACTCTACTCTGCTCGGTATTCTCTGGCTCATTTATGATCAAAATATGAAGATGAAGAGCTTTAATTCCTTCGAACAACTTATTCATGAGTAATAAAATAATAATTTTAATGAAAGTGAGAATGAAAAAATCTTGTTACCTGTACGATAATCTATAACTTCACATTCTCTCATTCCTGGATCATTAATAGTTTCTTGTACGACACTTTTCAAATAACAATGTTCATGACATTTGGATATATATTCAATTTTTGTTTGATTGTCAATAGTAATAGATCGACAACATTTCTCATTAGTACATACAGTTCTTGGATGGTCTAATCGACAAATTAAAACTTGATTTTGTGGTATACCTTGAGAAGCTATTTGGGGATCTTTACGAACATTTTCTTTATGTTGTTGAGCAAGTTGAATATCTTGTTGGATAAGTCTAGTTGTTTCAGCTATTGGACGTGTAAGTTTTCTAACCAGTTGTTCAGCTTCATTAAGTGAAAGTGTATTACTAACAGCATGAAGTGGACATTCTGCTATATAAGATATAAGCTTAGAATATTCTTTAACAGTATGATCCCAACTTTTTCGATAACTTAATTCTTGATCATTATTTAATTGAATCCCATTTAGTCGCAATGCTAAATATCTAAATGGTTCATTATCTAATAAAAAAGTGTTTTTGTTTGTGAAAGGTACATCAACACCATGCTGTTGTTGATGTTGTCTTAAAAGGTGTTTAAGAATTGTTGATGTACTTCCGGGTTTAAAAAATGTCGAACGAGCATTCGTAAAAACAAATATAATGTTATCACATGCACTTATATGTAAATGTCGAAGAAGTTCATTCACACAAAACCTAAAAAGTATTGTTAAACGTTCCTCATTTGGTTTAAGTAAAATACAAATTGCATTTAAATGTTCATATTGAGAAATAAATGTTAAAATTTCCTGAAAATTTCTAATATCTTGCTGAAGACCACGCGTATCTCCAATTCCTGGTGCATCAATTATGCGTAAATTTCTATTACCAACTCGAAAAATATAGCTTTGACATTGTTGTGTACATGATTGACCAATATCGTTGCAATTTTCCGATTCAGTTATTTGTCCAATCTTAATATGTTTTTCTTCAAAAGTATCATCATCAGTATAACTAAATGAAGATGGTACAATAGCTTGGATTTGATCCTTAACGGCTTCATCTAATGTATCATTACAAAAATAATTTGCTAAACCATTTATAAATGTGGATTTTCCAACACCTGTTTGTCCCAATAATAAAACATTTATTTCAGTAGATGAATCACAATGTGGGTCTCTTTCTATCATCATCGGTTAATTTCTTCTGGCCATTATTTACTAAATAAAAATAAGAGATTTTTGGTAAAGAAACAAAATTTTCGCAGTAACTTATAATTGAGGCTTATAGAGATAAGAAAAAGGTATGACGACAAAAGTCGCAATAGTGTTGTAAGACGTGTCTTCCTTTCTTTTTCTGATTCATACTCATAGCGGCATATATGAAATGTGTCAAAATATCAATAATTCTATTTAAATTTTGTCGTTTTTCTCGAAGAAAATCTACTAACTGTAATTTTTTCATAATTTAATTATTTTGACAACAAGAATTAGTTAAGATTTCTATTATGGGAAATTTTATTTCTTTACCTCTCTCAATTTATTGTTTTGCTTTAGACGAGTAGGAAGAATTTTGTTAGTGTGCCAATATGCTTCATGTCTCAAAAAACTCAATCCACAAAAGCATGATTCATAGAACAAAAAAAAAAGAATGTTCTTATTTCTTTCTGTCAACAGTCTTCATCATAGAAAAGAGCGAGGAAAAAAAAAGAATTTTCCAACTTGAGTATTTTTGTTGCACAACTTATGTTATCGAAATAGCGTCAGTTTTGGCGATTAATCAGTGACTTTTTGGTTATTACAATAAAATCACGAATAATCGGAAATTTTCCAACGAAATTTAGCAACAATTATTATTAGATAAAAATAATTCTTTTTCCTTCTATTTAGATCATCTGATCATTTCAATGAACTATAAATATTATTTAACCCTTTCAGGCCCATGACTCAGCCAATGGATGACATATCTTTGAGACTTTGTATTTAGTATGGGCAGCGTGTATTGTGGATATTTTCATCATAACTTTATAAAAATCTTTAAAGTCGTTTTTCGACTCATGCCCCGTACTCCCCCACGGGGATAATGAAGACCTATTTTGAATATTCCTGTAGGAGAGTACAGTTATGAGAGAAAATCAATTGAGAGTTATCACAAAATCAACCTTTGGAATATCACTAGAAGTCACTCCTAACTTGATTCCAACGCGGACAACTGGAGTATTTTGATGACTGCAAAAAGAGCATTATCCGACCTTCTCCTTTGTAGAATGGAGTTGGTGGTCTAAAATCCCATCAGACTTACTACCTAAATGACTTCATTAGGGTTACGATTCTTATATAGGTGTATGCAACGAAGTCTCTTCTATGTTACAGAAAAAAACGCATCTCAATATCTTTTTGCATTCGTGAGTTATCCAAAATTTAAGAAATTTGAAAAAGTGTCCTTTATTCAAGACGATGGGCCTGAAACGGTTAACTAAAACCAATTTTTTTCCTCTATTTAAGTCATATCAGTGACGGATCTGAACAGGGAGCGCTGGAGGCGATTGCTCCCTTGCAAAACATTGTTCTCGATTTTTCCTAGCAGAAAAGGCTTAAAAATGAACTGGTGCTACATCTAATGAGCTTCTAAACACGTTTTGTAATCATGATCACTCTCCTCCAGCCCGCGCACATATAAAAATCCTAGATCTATCACTAAGTCATCTGACGAACTTAATGTACAGTAAGTATTACTTTATTAAAATAACTTTTTCTATTATTGATTTGGATGGATCGAAAGAAATCGTCTCTCGTTATTCACGAGAAACATGTATGAACACGAGGGTAACAAACAGAGATATACATGTCGATAATTAGTCGTAGATCCAAATACTACGATTAGGTCGGATCATCGACAATATTATTTGAATAATTGTGATTGTTTGTAAAAATCGCCGATTTTTGCGCAATTTTCGTGACATTGGAATACTTCAAACAAGTGAATCCAAATTTCGATCATTCATGATTTGTCATTGATAAAACAGTTAAAACCTCTTATCAATCTAATGAACCTTTTTAATTAATAAATTGACTGAAAATATGAGGGTGTGAGTGAAGGGAAGACGTACACCCTATTGGTTGCTTCTCATTGTAACAAGTGCATTTGAGCACTTATTCGAATAGAAGTTTAACTCTTATAATTCAAGTTACTGTCAATTTTGAGGAAGTCTGGCGTTAGGAAAAAACTTTATCTCATCGTTTTCATAATTATTTCATATTTAAATGAGATAATTTCGATAGCATTGCTACACTTTTTCATGTAGCTTTGAAACATTTATGAATGAAAAAAACCTCAACCGATTGTCGTTCCATAAAAATTGAAACAATTTGAATTTTAGTTTTTAAATTTTGTACTTAAAGAGATAACTCAAAAAAGATTAATAATTATTAACAGTATGCTGGTCAAAGTTAAACGTACATTGTTAGATTTTGAATAGTTCAATACACAATTATTACTATTCGAAAAGGAAATGTAAATCATGCTTTCATAGAAATTCTAATTGATAAACGAATAGTCAAATAAATGAATCGTTTTCAGCAGTTTCAAATTGAGTGTTCTAGTCATTCTTTTTTTTATCATGGATAGACTTAATATTAGTTTTCATTTGATTTAAGTATTTTTTTCGCTGTTGACCTTGCTTGTTAGGATTTCAAATAGGAGCAGATCTGTATAAAGTTGATTATTTCGATTGAAGAAACTCGTTTTTTCTCACAATGTGGGCTTGGGCGTGGGTGTCTGTCTTCTTTTCGTACACACTTGCAGCCACAATCACACCCCATGCCCATATCGTGCTTCAAAGAAAAGAAAGTCGAGAACATATGTATTTGATATACAAGATGCGTCTATTTTCGTGATGACGGTATTTTTTGCTACCTAGAAAGACAATAGTTTGCAGCTATCGACAAGATTTTTCGAATGAGTAACGCCAGAAAAAAATGTTCATACCACTTGTGACGACAAAAATGTTGCGAAAGATCAAAAACAGACGAAAAAGTGCCAAAAATTGATGTTCCGAGAATAGTTTACCGGGGCGTTTATCAAGTGGTCAGGTGCTTTTGTGATCGGAAGATAAACATTTTTGTAGTTCTTGAAAAGAACTATCAAATGAGTCAGATCATAAAGATATCTCATTTCAATTTTTAAGACGACAACTTCTCGCAAATTGGAGTTACATTCCGCAATTACCAGAGCCGAAGTATGACATTTTTCAAGTCCGCGTATGTCTTCTGAATATTTATACTTCCCTATTGAATTTAATGCCCAAATGTTGGTCTAAACGAGCGCTTTCCACCTGCTTAATATGCTGTAACGAAAAGCACTTTGAGACAATGAGCTTGTTTGTATTTTTTCAGTAATCAAAATGAGTAAAGAATGACAGAAATAGTTTAATGCAATAAAAAGAAATAAACGACACTAATGAACGAGCAGAACACTTGGAACCAAAGATTTAGTTGAGTATTTGGGAATCAGTCGACCAAACGTTTTTCGAAACCATCCTGACTCTGAATCATTATCCTCAATTTTACTAGCTATATTTTGAAATTTGTTATCAAGATCTTCAATATCACTTAAATTAGCAGACCAATCATCATTTGATATAGTTTTTCCTTTTTTTTAATGATTTCAGTTTCTTTTTCGTTTCATTTAAATGTTGTATACGTTTTTGTCATTCTGGTTTAGCTTCATTCTTGTCTATTTGAATAATTAATTCCCTATACTGAATAGTTAATAATGATTTTGGCTATAATGCAATTTTTTCAAGACTTTGAATAGTTTATCATGTATGACCAACCATACGACAAGCTCTCTTTTAAGTTTCTTAAAAAACATTTTTCAATACTTCGTATATATTAAATGTTGTTTTATCATCAACTGTTGCTCGATGAAAACGTTGTTTCATATGTTCAAATGGTCTAGTTTCGTTTCCTTAAGGCAACTGAGGCTTGTAATGCCATCATTTCATAATAGCATGCTTTAGAGTCGTACCTTTAAAAAGCAGTATGCATAGAAAACAGTCAGTTTGTTTTATATATGGTTAACTTCTTTTCTCTTTTTTTCTTATGTGAGAATTAACTGACATGCAGCTCCAAAAGGTGCGATGTTGGTGT